AATTATTGCATAGTTGGTGTTAATTTCTGTAATTAATTGTAACATTTGTACCTTCGGGTTTTTCGTTGTTGTATGTAAAAACTAAAAAATCTAGTCCATAAAACCCTCGGTGTGGTTAGTTCTACCTTTAACCTACACCCGATAAGGGACTAGATGATATGAGGTAAAGTTATATGGTATAGACAAGTTCTGGTATATGATATTGATAACCACTGGATGGTATATGATAATGATAACAACTGGATGGTATATGATATTAATAACAACTGGATGGTATATTATATAGTTAAGATAAAGATGATATAGATAAGATGATATTCTTATTGAGACAACTTTGAAGGCCTAAGCTCATTCGCGTGTGATGGAGAATAGTAGCTGATTAACTATTTTTTTCTAAATTTATTAGAAATTGTGATTAAGTTTAGTGTAGTTATTCCCATTTGGATCCATTATGATTGGTAATTATCTATAGTTAAGTTTAATTAACTGATTTGGATTGACATTTTAAAATTTTGTTTTGCTCAAATTATTTTCATAAGATAGTTATCTCCCTTGAGTATTTTTTTTGTTGGCATTTTAACATTATTTTCTTTGGCAATAGGTTCGTTTAATCCAAACTGTTTAGCTACTATTTTGTTTCTCAAATATATTCATGTTAATCATTAGATTATAATATCAACTAGCAAACTTAAATGGTTGTTTACTGGACATATTTTCTAAAAGATATATACATTTAATTCATACTTAGATTATATTAAGGTATAGGCTTCATTAACATGTACCTCAACCATTATCCACCCCCCTCCCCCCGTTTCCAAAACTTTACAATGTTTGCACTATAAATACTTAATGCAATATACAAGTGAAATATTTACATTTCGAACATACCAACATAATATTTTACAGATACAAATACTTTCACATTCTATTAACATCTATATTCAAACACTTTATAAAAATGCACCTTAATGAAAACAAATTTCTCTTTCAGTCATGTTGTTTGAACTATTTGAGCTTTGTCATTAGTTTTTGTCTTTTGGATGTCGACTTTGATTTTGACTAGGAAGTTTGACTTATTCGAATGTTTGTACATGGATTTTGTATTTTGATTTTTGAATTGGTTTTGCTATATTGAATTTATTTGATATTTTGGGTTTTGATATGTTTACTTGGTGTATTCAGCTATGTATAAGTGATCAGTGTTTAGTTTTTTATTCAGATGTGTTTGTGTTCACATATTTGGTTTGATTTTGTGGAATTGAGTCGTTTATTTCTGTGTCTTCTGTATATTTCTTTTCTGCTTCTGAACTTGAAGATTCTTGTCTTTTCCTTGTCACTGTTTAAACTTATACCTGCCTACTTACATTAATGCACATGATTTGCAGTTTATATTGTGGTTTCGTCAGAATTTGTTGTCTTTGATATTCCAGTTTTGTGTCGAATTGATTGAAGGTTTACATCAAGTATTGTTGTGTGTATGGTATCGTGTGATTGCGTGTAGTATATGTGCTCATGTGGGGGTGTTGAGTTATTTTGTATTTTTTTTTATTATTTGGTTAGAAATTAAAAAAACACGTGTCTCTTTACATTTCTTCCAGATTAGTTTCTTTTTCTTTCCTTTTTTATTTACATAAAGGTAAATAATCTTCTATTACCATAATTAAAACTTTTAAAGAGTCTTGATCATTGACTGTGAAAGTTAGCTCATCGGGAGAAATATTATCTATATTCTGCATATTATAAATTAGCAGCGCGTATTGTGTTTTAATATTTTTAATGGCTTCCTAAACACATTTAACATATTGTAAGTCTTAAAGTATCCAATTTTCACACGCCAAATTAAAACAAATTCGGAATGGTCAGATCTGTATCTATTTTCAAAATCGTGTTTTTGGAGAAAAGGTAAAAGACAGACTGATGACAATAAGTAATCCAATCTGGCATGTGTCTGGGGATTACGCCACGCATATCATATAACTGTGGGATGTACTACTCGTAAACAATCTTTTACTTCGTACTGTTCTAATAATTCCATCATAATTTTATTAGCTTTAGGATGATGTAAAGTTTGTAATTTTTACTGTCTAAGTTAAACCATGGTTTATTGAATCGTTTTGGAGTTGGCGAGGTTTTATGAATCGCCTGACCCGCTGCATCTTATAAGATGGTGGTATATAATTCCATCGGGTCGCCTAACTCATCTAGATCACCTTGTCGAAAAGAAGACGTGCAAAGAGCCTCAAAGAGAGTAGGCGATTCGTCATTTAAGTTGCAAAGCTCATTGTCATATATGAAATTAGTTATCAATTTTCCTCTACTATTATCATCGGAGCTACCCCAGAAAGAATGGTGACTAAAATGAATGAATGAATGAATGAATGAAATCTCCTAACTAAATGAAAGCAGGAGGAAGCTGGGCAACAAGGTCATCCAATACTCTCGGGTTCAAATGGTAATAGGCACACTGAGTCTAACTCGCACGTCTATTACCTGCGGAGGAGAATTGACTAGGCGCCGTTCCTATTGACAATAATAGAAACACCACTCGAGACGGAACTAAAAGCAAATCCGTTGGCTTGCGGAAAGTCTCTTGGAGACAATTAGCCAACGGATTGTATTGTTGCATTAATAGCTGAACTTGATTAAGATTATGACTTAAACCTCGACAATTCAATTGTATTATATTATTTTTTGATGCATTGCCAGGGTGATTCTCCACTACGAGGTTTGCGGTAAGGGGGATTGAGAACTTCCACATCAACCTCGGAAGCCTGCATATCTATACTATCAGATATGGCAGACAGATATCTTCCTCCTTTTCTGGAGGAGGATCCATTTTTTTTTGACGGACTTGTCATTTTAAGAAACAATTTTGGCTATGCTTTTGTCGTGACTGCATACCAGTCCCTTTAGTTGGTAGACTTAAATTACTATCAACAACTACTGACTTCTCAGTCTGAGAAGCCTGAGTAACGGGTGATGTAGATGGTGTTGCCTTAGGAATAGATGGAGTTGCACCTTCTACAACCTTCCTCGCTTTGGGATACGATAATTTATATTCTGTTTTTACTATATTAATGTTTTTTTTCAACTTGCCACTTGGGACAGTCTTTGGAAAGGCAACATGCTTTCCATTGCAATTGCAACAGCAAGGAGCTTCGGTGAAATCCTTGTTGTCATGCTCAGACTGACCACAACGCGCACATCGAATCGAACTCTTACAACTTCGAGTTCCATGCCCGAAGCGTTGACAGTTGTAACCTCTGAGAGGATTTGGTACATATGGTGGAACTTGTGTTCAGATAGCCTACTTTTATTTCGAATGGTAAATTAGGTCGGTTAAATAACAGAATGAATTGGTTGGTTGGAATTAACTGGCCGTCACGACGGATGGATATTCTATCAGGTTCGTGATTCCAATGCTGTAATTTCTCCTTCATTTCCTCAGGAGAATATCCATTGAGGTCTGGGTGTCGTACGACAGTAGAATATGAGCATTCCGATAGTTCGCATTTCCGAGATATCCGCTCCATTTTATTTCACGTCTATCCCGGAAATGCACACTATCGGAATACTCCCCAATATTTCCATCAATTCACACGCAAAAAGACCTACATTTCTTCATTAAATTAACTCATTTAAAAACATAATAGTTTAATTCTAAAACACGAACAACAAAAATTCGAAGGAGATGGTTTCTCAGCTCTATCATCTCTCATCCCAAAAGTAGCCAACTTTGTCTCAAACAATAAATCCCTTATTCCCTCAGAGGCCCAAGCTCTTGGATCTGTTGCAAAGCTGGAGTAAATATAAGCGATGCAGTGAAAAAATCTAACGAGTTGAAAGAATTACAACATATAAGAGAAATGCGAAATAAAAGACTAGAAAATAAAAGTGCAATGGTTTTAAAATTTTTGGATAAAAAATGGCTATGATATTTGCACAAACTCCTCTGACATTCAAAAATCATTAGGTTCTCTTCCTGGATTTCCATGGACAAAATATCCTGGAGAAAAACATCTTCCCGGTCATAATTACACTGGTCCAGGCACAAGGTTAGATCTACGATTAGACCAAAATTATAAACTAAAACCAGGTGAAGAACCCGTCATTAGAGTTGACGCTGCTGCACTTAAACATGATATTTTATACAGAAATAAAGACATAACATCCAGACACGAAGCAGATAAACAAATGATAATCGAACTTGAAAATATTCCAAATTCAACTTTTAAAGAGAGAATGCAAAGAGCACTGATTATAAAACTGTTTAAAGCAAAGATGAAAATGGGTATGGGAATAGCAGATGAAATACACAAAGAATTTAGAAAAAACAAACATTTTTTAAAAGTCAAAGTGTTATATAAAGATGAAATATGGTCAGCAGATTTAACTAATATGCCTGTCGAAAGAAGATATAAATATTGTCTAACCGTTATAGATTTGTACACAAGATATACTTGGGTTATTCCTCTCAGAAACAAAACAGGTTTATCAGTCAAACACGCATTTGCAACAATAATGCAACAATCCGACAGACGATCTAAAAAGTTATGGGTAGATAAAGGAAGTGAATTTTATAACAAAAATATGAAATCTCTAGGATTTGAAATTTACAGCACACATAATGAAGGTAAAGCTGTAGTCAAATATTACCAAATGTTGTAGATGAATACAATAACAAAATTCATTCATCTATAGGTGTCACACCAACACAAGACACAAATAATCCAAATATTATAAAGTCAATTAACACACAAAATAACTATGAAAATGGGATAAACAATTTAAACATCAATCCCAAATCGGAGATCGAGTTCATATTTTCAAATATAAAAGCAAATTCAAAAAAGGCTACGTTGAATTTGGACCAACGAAATATTTATCGTAGATAAAGTAAATAGTACATCACCTCCAACATATGAATTAATCGATCAAGACAAAGAACAAATCATAGGTAGGTTCTATCAAAACGAACTTACAAAAACTGACTTTTAAAAATGAATAGCTTTCTTGATAAATACGGAACTGATACAACTACAAACATTCAACTTATGAGATGGGCAAAGGAGTTTTATTATTGTATGCGAGATGAAATAAATAATCTCAAGGATAAGAAAGGTAAATTTTTTGCCATAACAAATATACATACTTCAGATCAAAATGGAGTTCATCACTCTGCTTTATACAAAGACTCTTTTAATAACTTTTATTTCTTCGATTCTTTTGGATTAGAACCAAATGAAGAGATAATGCAATTAATGAAACTGACTAATCAACCAATAAAATGTTCTACGTTTAAAATTCAAATGCCGGGTCAAAAATTTTGTGGTCAACTTTCACTTTGTGTTTTATATCAATTAAGTTTAGGAAAACAATTTGAAGAAATTATAATAAATTTAAAAATGGCGAATAAATTTGGATTAGGTTCTTTACCTTTAGATACTAAAAAACCTAACACTACAGCATGGATAAATAAAGCAAAACCTAATTTTGTGGAACAAATTGGACACACTTCAAGGTGATCTGGATATTTTACCATAACTAATTTAAAGTTACCAGAAAATGATTATGATGCTGTTCACAAGAAATATTTAATGGATCAATTAGATTTAATTGAAGTAAATAAAGACCATTTCAAAGAAAGAATAAGTGATGTGAAAAGATTCTTCAAACGACAAATAAATAATAAAGATTTTATTGATGAAACTAAATTACAACAAGAAGTAACAAATATTCAACAACAATTAGATGTGAAGTTTTATTGAAGAACAATTACTTAATGTAGTAGATAAAACTCAGTTACAAACTTTAAGTTCATTAATATCTAATTCAGATGATAAGATAGCAAAACAAAAAATACATCTTAAACAACTAATAGCGAATATTAATCCAGGAATAAGTGAAGATAAATTAACAACATTAGAAACTAAACTTATTGATAATAGTGCAATACAAAAAGAAATAGTTGCTATTAAACAACAATTACTTAATGTAGTAGATAAAACTCAATTACAAAGTTTAACTCATTAATATTTAATTTACATGATAAGATAGTAAGGCAAAAAATAGACCTTAAACAACTAATAGATAATATTAATCCAGGCATAAGTGATAATAAATTAGCTGCATTAGAAACTAAACTTAATGATAATAGTGAAATAGTCGCCATTCAAAAACAATTACTCAATCTAGTAGATAAAACTCAGTTGCAATCTTTAACTTCATTAATATCTAATTTAGGTGATAAGATAGTAAAACCAAAAATAAATCTAAACAACTAATAAGAATAAGTGAAGATAAATGTCAACAGGAATTACAAAAAGAACTAACAAATACCAAAAACAACACATAGAAAATATTGATATTAAAAAATATAGTCACATTAGAAAACAAATTCAAGGAAAATAAAAAATCATACTATTTCAATCTTCCATTTAAAAATATTAGTAGAAAACATGTTTCTATTACTGATAATATTGATAAATCAAAAGATCATGAATATAAAAAATATGGATTTACAGCAACCGTTAAAGGATATTCTGTTCAAGATTTTATGTTATTTTTAATGAAGATTATTCATCATATTTTATTTTCCGAGGAATACTTCAAATTGGAATTACTTTTCTTATGCAGGTAAAAGTTGATTCAATATTCTTCGCACAAAAATCAGAATCATATAATCAATTTAATGCTCGTAAAATTCTTCAGTTTATCAATGGTAGAGAACATGTAGGAACTAAAGAATTTGAAATTAACGATGAAAACACCAAGGTTTATCACTTATATGAAATTAAAACAAATGGAAAATATATAGATAGGATTAGAATGTTAATTTTACCAGATAAAGAAGCTGAAGTATTTGGATTGGGTGAATTTGATATGATATTGGAAACACAAACTCCTCCAACAATAAATATTATTAGAAATACAGAACCACAAAAAGCAGATTCAATCAGTTATGAGTTTTTACGAACATCAACAGACTTTGAATATGTAAAACTATATTTTGTTAATACTGATTTATTTACCTCAATTGATATTCATAAAAGTCAACAAGATAACAAATTTATAATATTTTCATCAATAATTGAAAGTGAAAAAGGGACTGGCATATATTCTTTATTCATGTATGATAAAAATCAATATCAAAAACCAAAATTTTCAGCTCATCTGAATAAGATTAATGATTCGAAAGAAGAAACAAGAAAAAACATCTATAGTATCTGTAGAGGTTACTATTCTTAAACCTATGATAATCTTTCCTAACGGAGAGTTTGAGACTGAGATGGATAACATCTTTTAAGTTATCAGAAATTCACTTAATTTAATGTCTTAAAAATGGAACTCGAAAGTAGACAACAATACATGATAGACAAACAAAACGAGTTAAAAGTAAAACTAGAACAATATAATAAATGTAAGAAAAGATGGATTAAAGTTGATTCTGTTTTCAAAATACTGAGTGTAGTTCTAACAGTAGGAACAATAGTTTCAACGGCTGTAACTGGTGGATTGATGGTTCCACTACTTATCCCAACTTTATTAGCAACAATTACTGCTATTCAAACTTAATCTTGTGGGTTGATTGCTATAGGTTATACATCAAAACAGAAATCTTATTACGAAAGATCAAGAGAAGATAAGAACATAACCGTTGAAGAATTGGAAAAAGTCAAAGAAATTCTAGATAAATTTGAGATGGAAATATAAGCAATAAAAGTTAAAAAAGAAACTTAAAAAAAAAGATAATTAAAAAACATATATAAAAAGGAATAAATCGATCGAACTTAATGATGATGAAACAATCATAGAAAACGTGCTATTTTCAAATATTATCAAGATTATTTCTGACAAATTTCCGACAATTCTGGTTTTAATACCAAAACTTTTCATAATATCTTTAGAAATATGGAAGAAAAATCCGACGCTTCTGATTGGTACTTTACAGGAAAAATAATTTTACTTAAAGACAATTTTAAAGAAATTAAAAGATCAAAAGTTGGAAGAGGAACTGAACTACTCAAAAAAAATAAATGAATGTAAAGGTGAAAATTGCTACATACCAACAGATGGTAATTGTTTTATCAAATGTGTAAATTATGTTTTAAACAAAGATTTAACAATTCAATTTCAAACTTTCATCAATGGTTTCTCAAAAGCAAAAAGAAAAGGAGTAATGACGTGTGCTAGAATAAACGAATTCAATAAGAAATGTGATACTTCATTTCAAATTTACAATCCCCAAAATATACATTTATTCCCGATTATATCCAATCGGTACAGTGAATGTTGGAATACTGTAAATAATCTGACGTTTGTGTTTATTGAAAAATCCACCGTTTATTAAATTACAGTGAATATTAATGACGACAATATCATTCTCGATATTAGCTTTATGTGGCGCTAAAGTGGATTGTGTGTATATTTGTTTATCAAATCCTAATAAAGTATTCAAAGAATTTTCTACGTTGAAATCAACTTGACTCTTATTTCTCAATATCAATTTTATTTTGTTCAGATTCAAATTACCTTCGAATTCAATATTGTTTTAACCATTTGCACTTCCTCCATATTCAGAAAGATATTCGTTTATGGCAACATATTCATAGCTTCCTGGTAGTAGTAAACTTATGGTTTTGAATGTAGCTCGATGATCTGTTGATATTTTCAATTGGTTATTATTTTCGTTGATATTTCTAATGGAATTGTAGACAGAAATATTTTAATCCCAATTCATATTCTTCATTGCGATCGAGTTCATACTCATAATCTAGAGACAATTTAATGTCTGATTTATTTGAGGATATAACGAATAATTGTTCTTTATTTGTCATTTTCCAATGACTATTTTTATTGGATAATTTTATCAATCACGCTTTTATAATAATTTTTATCTATAATACTTTTCTCTAGGAGTCTTTTTAATATACAATTTACTTCATTATATTGTCTGTCTGAACGATGACTTTCTTTCATTGCTGCTAATATTATTTCTAATCTATTAAGCAATTCTTCGTTATTATCTGGTAAAAAGTAACTCCTTCACCAGATACCAGATTTTCGAATTCGTCTATTTATTGTTTTATTGGATTGTCTTCACTTATTCATCATCTTGATTAATAGCTCTTATATATTGATCATCTTCTTTTAATCTTCTTGTTTCGGGTCCCGTCTTTCTTATCGTATGTAAGATTTTGTGTATTCTACTAAATCCTTGTAATCGACAATATCAACATCCCCTCCATTCATTAAATCTATTAATCCTTCTGTTACTGTAAAACTTTTTTGTATCGATTTTGAATATTGGTGAATTTCCACTAATTCTTATTCTAAATCCATTAAACAATAACCCTTCATTATCAATAATTGGTGTAATACTCCCAGGTCGGGGTTTGAAAAAAGAAGATTTATATCATCTAATGACCTAATTATAATACCACCATATTCAATCGGTTTGTGGTGATCTTTATGAGGTGAAGGTTCTATATGAGGCGTGTCTAATTTCTTTTTAATATCCTCTTGACTTTTTAATATTGGTTGAAATAGAGTTTGTAGATTTTCTGTTAACCCAAGTTGTTGTAATCTGTTGTTTTCAACTTGGGTCTTTATTTTATTCTTAGCTTTGATATATAGTCTATTTTTTTTTTAAATATTCCAATCACCAATTTTTAAAGAAATAAAAATAACATTAATATATCTGTCATAACTCTTTCTAGTATTAACGAATATATATCCATGATCATCTGGGTTTCTCCATTGTGCTTTACAATCCTTTTTAATAAATGTATCTCTATCCATTCCGTGATTAATTGACTGAGTAATTTGAGATAAATCTTTGTCATTCAATTCGAATAATAAAAAACAATTTGCATTTTTTCTAATGAACATTGCATCCATTCCGTAGAAAGATTGGGATTGGTATATGCAGTGACAGTTGTGATGTCTTCTTTCGTGAAGAATTCTTGAACAGCTTGATTTCTTTGTGCTACACAGTCGTCAAACACTATTAAGTTCTTTCGCTCACTATCAATTTTAGATAAATCTAAATCATTAACATTTTTCGTAAGAAAAACTTTTATGTCTGTTGGATGGAAAGATGGATTCTTTTCTTTTATATATGTATTTAAGATATCTTTTATTTCCACTATCTCATCGTTGGCTTCATAATATTTAAATATGTCTTGAACGTCTTTCTTTGGTATATATTCTAAAGCTTTGAGGAATTGATAATATAATTGCTGTGGTGTAGTTGTGTAGATATATAATGAATCGAAATCTAACAGTTTTGGTGAGCTTCCACAAATACACATAAGCATTGGGTTACTAGGAAATATTTCTGAATTATTAAATTTCTTTCCCATTTTTTATTCTACATTCTTGTTCCAAAAATCACTCCTTCTTCTTTATACATTGAAAGAAAGATTCCCTCTCCAGAACGTATGTTTTTAAAATCTATGGCATCCCCCTTATATTTGACCTTCATTTCTCCAGTGTCGATTTTATCTATTAGATTATTGAATCCCTCTTTAACAGTTTTCTCGGTTTCTTCACTAAATCGATTTCCAAATTTTTATCTGTCCCTAATATATCTGCTACTCCTGAACCTTGAGCTATTTTTTCCATTTCCATATTATGTCTACGTTTTTCACTTTTTTCAGCATCAGCTGCTTTCTTAGCAGTGTTATCCTAGCCGCCCCACCAGCTGTCGCCTCAGCAAATTTCAAGGGTAGGAAATGTAAAAATCCACCTTCTTTTGCTTTCGCATCAATTATTTTCAAATCTATATTATCACGGACTTTACAATGTTTATATCTATTGATCATTTTTTTTTTAGATATTTTGGTCTTTTTACCATTGTACGTTATTGTAGTTGGTGATTCCGCTTCGATTGCTTCTATTAATCTTTTTGCTAAAGTTTCTGGTTTCATTTGTAAGAGGGTAATTTAAATGATTATTCTGTACGAATCATCCGTCTGTCGGATATTTTAATTAAATGTTTTGCTTCTTGCAATAATAAACAATAACCGGTTACCTCTCCTTGTGTTTTTTTCAATATAAATATTTATATCCACCCCTGTTTTGAAAATATTTTCTTGATGAGCTGATAGATCAAAACAGAAGATTGGGTGATTAATTTCAAAATCTATATATTCAAACTGAGGTGGATTTCCAAATAATTCACACACATTTTTATAGTTTCTATACCATTCATTATAATCCTTCGTGGATGAATTAATTGTTAAAGGTTGGTTAGGATAATTATCATTGTTTAATCTTACTTGAACTTTATGGATTATAGTTTGGTTCACTGCTATTCTAAAGATATTATTGTTATTCGTTTGAGAATCTGGTAAGTTTTTGAAACCAACCATTAAATATCTTGCTAGTTTAATAGTGTTTGTGATTGGCCAGGTAGTGAATTCTCCAGTTAAAGTCATGCTACCTACCGTGTTACGACGAAGAAAAGCTTTTTCAATATATTTAGTCAACATGTTGAATATTCTCGTTTCTACTTCAATTGATGGTGTTATTACGGGTATGTAAAGTTGGTGATTCGATATTTCTAATTTTGCATCTCAAGCATTCTCTCCAAAGAATATCTTATCATCATTGATTTCTCTTTGTAGATGAATTTTATATGGTAATCCTATGGAAACCTTTCTGTGTTCCAACAGACCGGATTATGGATATAACTTCCAATTTACGTAATTATCCCAACTATTATTATCAACGCTATTGTTATACTGAAGTACTCGTTTTTCGATTCCATGATTAGCTACTCATGATACTCTTTCTATTGTGTTTTTAGCAAAAACTCTCACTCTATGTAAATCCGCATCATTTGCAACATTTCTTATCGATTCTTTTAAAACACTTCCATCATCAACATCGGATATCCAGCCTGAAACTGAATCATAATTTTTGGGATATAGAACTGTTTTCAACATTGTGTCAAATTCCCCAGGGTGTTTAATGTTTTCTATAGGATTTGAACCAGCCTCTAAAACCATTTCAGTAAATAAAGACAGGAAGAAATTGTTTTCTAATGTTGTGATGGTTTGTGGTACACGATTTTGATTGGGAGTTCCATCTTTTATTTTGAAATCGTATCTGAAATAAGCACCGGAAAGAAGTAACCAATTTGATAATGAATTAATCTCGAAAGTGACCCTACCTCAATCATTTAGTTGAGACCTAGAGCCTACGGTTGGTGATATAATAATATAATCCTCTTTTTCTTATTAAACGAATAACGAATTGGTAGATATACTTTAGGGTCATGACCGCTCATTCAGAATCGGTTGACATAGTTTAGGGTGATCACCGTTCCTAGAGAATCGGTAGACATTGTTCAGGGGCCATGACCGCTCCTAAAGAATCGGTAGACATAGTTCGGGAGTCATGACCGCTCATAGAGAATCGGTAAATATACATCAGGGTTATCTCTCCTCTTACACTATCAGTAGACATAGTTTAAGGTCATGACCGCTCCTAGAGAATGTATATATACCTCACATGAATTATATCCTTTTCCAAAACGCTTGTTCTTCAACAATGGAGCGGATATCTCGGAAATGCGCACTATCGGAATGCTCATATACTACTAACGACTCCTTTGGAAGAGAAATGAGGTGAAACTTTGATAGGGATATAAGCCAATGTAGATGATTTTAATAACAGCTCAGAATGAATTTTGCGTGAGCATTCAAACAACAAAGACCCATTGCGAATGCAAGTCCAGTCAAACATTTTGCAATTGCAAATGGGGACAATTTTGATGATAACGAACTCTCAGGGTCACTACTGACCGGCGCTTGGAGTCTGCACCGACCCGGATAAGACGGCAAAGGTAAAGTCAACCAACCCTGAAGACATTTATGCTTCGTAGGATACTACTTTTCAACACCACTGGTATCCAGAGAAGCTTGGCCTGGCGAACAGAGAGAGGACCCACTATTGAGAGTCGTCATAACGAGGAAGAGTTTCATAGCTAGTCCTTCCAGCAGCCTACAGACATCAGGCAATCAAAGGCATCCATCACTAGGTAGGCCACCGAGGTCGATACAGAACCATCAGTCTAGCTAGCGTTGAAGAGGCTAAACGAGGACAGTATTCTCATAATGACAGACCATTTCACCCGATACGTGCAGGCGATCCCAGCTCGGAACACTAGGGCAAAGATAACCGCCAAGGCCATCTTCGACAATTTCATCGTCAACTGCTGGATTTCGAAAAGACTTCATAGCGATCAGGGAAAACAATTTGAAGGTAAAATAATAAAGGAATTGTGCAAAATCACTGGGATGGATAGGAGCCGAACGACCCCATATCATCTTCAAGGAAACGGCCAATGGGAACGTTTCAACAGGACAATGTTCAACATGCTAGGAACTTTGAAACCGGAACAGAAATCTGACTGGAAAACTTACGTCGCCCCTCTTGTGCACCCATACAACTGTAGAAATCATACAACCACGGGGTTTTCACCATTCGAATTAATGTTTGGCAGGAAGCCAGTTTTAGCTGTAGATATTGTTCTAGGTCTACATAATCAGGATGAAGAAGTCCTATAAATCCAATATCACCAACTTGCGAGAAAAGCTTGAAGTGTATAGGGCCGTATCTGCCGAAATTACGAAAGGACAAGATGACACCAAGAAGAGATATCAAAGCTAGAGTTAATGTGTTGGAGCCAGGCGACCGAGTACTCGTGAAGCTACTGCAATGAAGAAAGCTGAGATCGTGAAGTCCATGTTTCCGGAAGACTTTGTGAAACTACCACCTGAGAGTCTATGAGCGGTGCTGGGGTTGTGACTGAGCCTATACTGTTCCCAGGATTATTCTAGAGCTGGTGATGTAGATGAATAGATTATTTAATATACACTCGGTTGGAAACCTCTTTCTAGGGTAAGCTTATAATTAACTGAAGTACCATAGTTTACCTGTATCCATTTGGTTCATATATATGGATACAGGTAAACTATGGAATATATATATATATATAGTTCATGCCCACTATAAGAGCCTTCAAGAGAAATTCCCCCATGTCTATAAGCAGAAAATGATAGTTGCATATTCAAAAAATAAGAACTTAAATGATAATATTGTTCATAGCAAACTAAAAACAATCAGTACATAACAGATACTATACTTATATTATTTTTTCTAATTTCAGATCAGAATAAGAACAGAAGAAAACCCAATATCAAGACCCTTAATCCTAATTTCTAAATAAAGTGTCTGCTCCACCCTAGGCCTGTACATTTGGGAGAATCAAACCCTCCCTTCCCCGAAATCAAAAACATTTCATCGAAAATGCGTCAAATTATAACTTGTCTGAGATCTTATCAATTTCAATGTTTCATCAGCATCGGTTGAAAACTGTAGCTTCTATTGTGCTTACGAACAAATTTTGACGCGTTTTTTACAAAGTCAAGGGCAATAACTCAAAAACCATTCATCAAAAATGCATCAAGTTAGAACTAAGTCTGAGATCTTATCAATTCCAATGATCACACCAAGTTTCATCAGAATCGGTTGAAAACTGTAGCGTCAATCCTGCTCACAAACTATTTTTAACAAATTTCGACGCATTTTAACAAAGTCAAGGTCAATAACTCAAAAACCGTTCATCGAAAATGCGTCAAGTTAGATCTTATCAATTTCAATGATCACACCAAGTTTCATCAGAATCGGTTGAAAACTGTAGCTTCAATCCTGCTCACGAACTATTTTTAACAAATATTGACGCGTTTTTACAAAGTCAAGGGCAATAACTCAAAAACCGTTCATCGAAAATGCGTCAAATTAGAACTTGTCCGAGATCTTATCAATTCCAATGATCACACCAAGTTTCATCAGAATCGGTTGAAAACTGTAGCGTCAATCCTGCTCACAAACTATTTTTTAACAAATTTGAACACGTTTGAACAAAGTCAAGGGCAATAACTCAAAATCTGTTCATCGAAATTGCGTCAAGTTAGAACTTGTCCGAGATCTTATCAATTCCAATGATCACACCAAGTTTCATCAGAATCAGTTGAAAACTGTAACTTCAATCCTGCTCACGAACAATTTTTAACAAATTTCAAGGCTTTGTAAAGTCAAGGGCAATATCTCAAAAACCGTTCATCGAAAATATGTCAAATTCGAACTTGACCGAGATCTTACCAATCTAAAGCATCACACCAAGTTTTATCAAAATCAGATGAAAACTGTAGTCTCTATAGTGCTCACAAGAAATGTTGACCGACGGACCGGGGCGACAATATACGACCACATATTCATGTGGGCGTATAAAAACCGGTCTACTGTAATATAAGTTCTCCACCTCAATATTATTTGATATTTACTAAGTGTA